CCGAGCACACAAAGGGCAGTCGAAAACCAACCAGTAAACTGCCTAGCAGTGGCAGAACCCATGGAACTTGTGGAAGGTGGCCCCAAGCCCCAAGGGCAGTACTTACAGGGCACCTAGAGAAGGTAACCCTAGGCGCATGCAGCCCGAGCACTGGAGACTCACTCCCGGCTCGCGCACCACTTAGAAGACAGACACCACACTCTAGGTACAGTGCTGAAACAACTAATGGAGCCGGAGCACACAACCAGTGCCTATAGCATCAGCCGAAGAACTGATGGGTGGATAGCCGGTGTGAGAGGTCTGGGGCTCCCCCTTCCCCCTCCTGGGGAGGGGGAAGCTGCGCAGACAGCGGCACGGTGACGTGTGACATCATACTAGTTTGCTTGTTTTCTGTTGGGGAGGTCTATCCACTAGTTCCGCTTTTGGTAGCAATTTAACCAGAATAGGGGTTTGTTTTGGAATGCCGGTCGATGGCAGACATAGAATACTTCCAACCACACAGGGGTTTCTATAGGCCATTGCTCCCCTTGCCTCTCTGAGGGGGCCAGGTTCTGGCCATGGTCCCTGGTAGGCCCTAGAACTCCACACACATGACTGATGCCAAAGTCTGACATTAGCATATCAGCCTGGTGTAGCTCCGGGGAGCCGACGGGGTTCCCCCCAGAAAGTTGCATGCACACAGGAAGCAAGCAACCCGGGCCAAAATTATTGCTGCATTGGAAAGGTAAGAATTTCTTATTGATTAGGGGGAACGTTTTTCAGGCTCTGATTATGAATTTGATCCCACAAGTGACGAGCCTAACTCGGAAACTGAGAGTGCGAAAGGGGGACCACCTGCGAGTGTTGGCGGCATAGGAGGCACTATGCTTGGTGTCACAACACATTCCTGCTAATAACTAAGCTTAGGCCTAGTATCCATGGACTTTCCAACCCATACAAAGCCTGAAACTTGTATAGACCTACTGGGAACCAGGACCAGAATCTGGCCTCCTCACAGCGGAGACAAGAAAGGTGATCTAAAACATAAAAACTACTCACTCACAAACAAAACCAAAACTATTACATCCTCTATTTTTAATCCATTACCTTAAACTTGGTAGCTGCTGCATGGGGAGGCTACCAATGACATAGAATCAAAATTTGTATCCAACCACTACCTACGAACTTTCCCAGCCCTTGGTTGAAACTAACCTTATATCCAATAGGGTATAACCACAAGACAAAATGGATAGTACTTAAGTTCATAAACATCATTTGACACCATTAGAATCACAATAATTTTTTGTTTGTCCATATCTGAACCATGGGAAACTCCTATGAGTCCAGAGACCAACAGCAGGCAAACTAGTTTTTTGTTTGCTCTGAACTCATCACCAGATGAAGATAGCTGATCATCATTTTGGGACAAGCTTCCAACGTGCTTTATTCTGGTAGCACTAGCATTACAAGAGCGAAGGAAACAAGCCCTTCAGAAGGATACATAGAATGCACCTAGGAATCGAGCAGACCTTGGTCGAAGCCCAAACTTTACCCTTTCCTAAACTTCAGGCTGAGACAGACCATCAACCCCCATGGGACTAAATGCAATTACTGACACCAAAGTTTGTATTTCTTGGGTTCACAAGTACATTCTTTCTCTGCCTTAAAGACTAAGGACAGGACCTTTTAAACCCAATTGAGAGACATGTGAGTCCCCCTGGTGCACACAAAAGGAAAATCCCTGATCAGAGAATTGCCTTGCTGCTAATCAGCTTCCAAATCAGAACTCATGAAACACACTTGTTGTTTTAGATTCAGCTACTCTTAACGAAAGTTCCAAAGTAGCACGGGTTAATGTGAGCCCGAAGTAGACTTACCTGGCACAGAAGTGGGGCTGTAACTTGTCAGACACACTGGATGGGAAATATCGGGGACAGTAATACGAACTCCTACCCTGCACTAACTAGGACACACTATAACTTGTAAGCTGAAGGACATTAGTAGACCGAAACGCTATGCATACTAGTGACTTTAGGTATTGTATGTACTACCTCTATCTTTAAATCAAACAGAATGTTTGTACTGTAACTCTGTAACTATGTATGTACTTTTCCTAAATAAATTATTATTATTATTAATGAGGTCTCCAAAACTAGGTAACCATGGTCAACTTGACTCAATTACTGGCCCCTGCTTGTCAAAGCATTGCATACTGACATCAGTGTTTGTGTTGGTTCTGAGTGGATGCATTTGCAGATAGGCAAGATGCTGCTACTAGGTGGTGTTGAGGAAGCCTCACATATGACCAAAGTTCCCAGTGGTAGTTATGAGTTATGTCACTGGAATCTGTTTTCAAGTATATACCCTATATGACACTGCTGGGGTAGTACAGATGTGACACTGGTCCCTGCACATCACCTTGCCCTGCTGCAATCGTAATCCTTCTAGGCACTCAAGTATGTGATACCTATGGCAGTGGTGGAATGAATAGCTCAGAAACATTATGCAACACAGTGCTGAAATTACATTTATATAATATTGTGTTCTAAGGGTCTACAAATATTAATATTCCAAAACACTTTACATTAATCTACTAGTCAGTATCAGTACAGTAATAGCTTTTTTAATTTAAAAAACTATTAACTTTAATTTCAAAGTGTTAACACTTTGTGCGGATCAGGACATAACCTGGAGTCCTGTTTCGCCTACCCGCTTCCGCGATGTGGACATAAAATGATGTCCTGAAAAAAATATTTGTATAAAATCCAATTTTAATCCAATTTACTTTGGATTTGTTTCAAACTGCGCACCATGGGGCTCTCTTCCTCACCACTAGGCTGCATGGTACAATACGTTCATGAAAGGTGTGGACCACTTCGATCAAATGGTATTACCATTTTACCAGGAAAACTCACAAGTGGACCTAAAAGATAACGTTTTATTTCCTGCAAATGGCTTTGCATAATGCCTTTGTTTTGTACAAATACAACACAACTGATCAAAAAAAGCTAACATTACTACAGTTCCACGAGGTGGCAATTTGGGCCCCATTGTGCTGGGACCCGGAAGATTGGCCTCAAACAGCAACAGTATCTCAACACTTGCGGCACACTCCAGACATAAATGATGACACAGGTCCTGCCTATGCTGACGCCATGCAAACTCCTGGACCATCTGGTGTGAGGCGGCCCTTGTTCACTTCAACACCTCAAGCTGAAGCAGCAACTGAATCAGAACCCGAGATGTCTGGCACACTGCCATTTGACGAGACGGTTTTGTCAGGTGACTCTGACTCAAATGTTGAACCTCCAGCAATTCAGTTAATTCTGAAAATCGCATGAACTACAAACTGAAACGAGTATTTTGATACCAGAATGAACACTGTATCACATAAACTGCCCTAAGTAGACTCGAACCTTCATAGATTTTTTTTTGGGTGTAGCGTGTGTCTGCATGAGTGTCCCAAACGGGTTGCAGATGGGTGACTTTAGCCGTTTATACTGGTAATGCTTCCCCCATATCATGTATTATATGCATATGTCTGTTTATGGAATTTTATTCCGATCAATGTACAATAAAAAATAACTGTGTGCAACAAGTATAACCTTGGCAAACATAACAAAAGTAAAAACATTTCGTGTGTGTTTGACGCTCACTGATATGTTCCAGCGTTGTTTTATATTTGGCGCTATTCTATCTTACGCTTTGTTGATCTTTTTTACCTACGGGCTCATAGAACATTCTATTGCGAACACATTGACACAAAAATGAATGACGTACATAGAATAATAATGTCAGGACAGTGAAATAAGTATAAACTTTCAAAGCGCCGTATCGCACATGTGTCGTCCCGTCACCGATACCGGGTAACAGTTCCACCACTTCCCACACTCTTGCGGGTGGGCCGCGACCATTATTCTACGTTTATATTCATATCACCGTGTTGGGAATTTCATTGCGAGTCCATTGATACCAAAATTAACGCTGTAGGACAAGTGTGGAGGTGATAACAATCCCAAGAATAAAAACATTTTGTTGCTGTTGGGCGCTCACGGCGAGTCATCTTCGTAGTTATTTATTTGGTGCTGGTATCCCTATACGTTTTGTGACTTTTTTTACTGATGTTCTTCTAGAGAATTTTATTGCGAACACGTTGGTACCAAAATGAAATACGTAGCTCGAGAACTAAGGTCAGGAGAGTAAAAAGAGTATACACATTTTTGTTTTTACGCTTAAGCGACAAAAACGTCGCGCGCACATACCGCTTTTTTTTTTTTACCTTCGTCGTTCGCGCGAAAGTGTTAACTTTATCTAGTAGAGTACACAAATTCCTGTTTAATAACATCTTGCTCCTCTTCAATATAATATAAACACTGGCAAGATCAATAAACTGTATGACTTCTTTAACACTTGCATTGTTTAAGGATTGCATTGGCATTATTTGTATGAACATAGAAAAATAGTATTCAAAACTAAGTTTATCTTTCTATATTGATAAAAATCTTGCCACGAGCATAGGAAAAATGTCCCAAGTATCGTAAGTCACATTTTAAGATGGCAGATGTTTACTGGAAGCCTCAAATACTGATTGGAAACACTATGTACAAGCTTAATGTTTCAAGTGCTGCAATGTACCTAGAGCAACTTAACATTTTATATGCACCATGGGTCAAACATCTTAAGACAGTACAGTATGTACATTACAGAGGTTAATGAATAAACCTTAAACCCACAAATCTTTTAGTTAATTGAGATCCTTAAATTTACCGGCTTTAGTAAATTGTAAGTTACAAACCTTATTTTTCTTAGTCCTGTTAACCCAAGAATCCCTAAAAAGGTGATCCAGATAATTGGTGTCACACTGTACTACTGAACAGGTTAAATATTACTGTGCCTATTTCATCAAATCAATAACGTTGATTATATGAAATTGAGAGAAAAATATATTAATTTTTATTTGAAATTATGCCAAAGTATGCAAAATTACACAGTTTAAACAATTAAAAAATGATTTTCCATACCTTATTTTTTCCTTTGAGGTCCTCCAACTGTTGTTTGTAATTATTAATCTCACTTTTGAAGTGAGACTTGACCTGACAGAGCTTATCATTCAACAGCTGGTTTTGTTCATTCACTCGATCCAGTTCCTGCTGCAAGTCTGCAGCCAACGTCTCAAGTTTGTTGTCATACTCCTTCAGGAAAACAAGTCACATTAGTGCAACATACTATCTCAACTTTTAATATTTACTCAAGCCTTCCCATTTTCCTCTCCAGAAACTCCCTAAAAAAAATAGTATTGAGTAAAAATGAAAAACTTTCTTCTGAGTTGGTCAATTAGCTGCTCTCTTTAGGCAATGTCTTGTTCTCAGTAGGACATGGCTAAAAACAGTCAAACAGCAGCAGCAGAAAGTTTTCCAAATGCCTAACCAAACCAAAATTTGGCGAATAGAGACACTGAATCAATCCAACTCTGAATGACCTCCAGTTGGTTCATTACACTCACAAACTTTTCACAAGTATTACACAGCAGTCAATCAATTACCAAAAACACCAGCTTGCTTGGTGGCCAGCTTGCAAACTAATTGCAAGCTGGCCACCCAGCAGCTACCCTAGACAACCAACAGGGGGTAAGCACAGCACTGTCATCAGAGTAGCAAGGATTAGCTAACCTTGCATTTATTCTGATACAAGCCTCAGACAGCACAGGCTGAGCCAGGAAAAAAACTAACATGGTGTTTATATATATATATATATATATATATATATATATATATATATATATATATATATATATATATATATATATATATTTTTTTTTGGTCTCTGACCAAACTAAATAACTAAATTCCAAAGGGTAACGAAGGACACTACAGCCGAACTGAAAGCAAAGGTCAACAAATTGATCGAAACTGTGAACGCCAAGAAATCTGTACTCCACCTGCCAAAGATTATTGGGGAATATAAACCTGGATATGTGTATGGAAATGTCAAGACACACAAGCCTGGAAACCCACTTCGGCCAATCATCAGCCAGATACCCACACCCACGTACAGACTGGCGAAACGACTCAACGGCTTGCTGACTCCTTATGTCCCTTGCGCCTTCAGCCTGAAGTCTCCAAAGGAATTTGTTGACTTGCTGCGGGGAACACGGGCCACAGGGATAAGAGCCTCGTTGGACGTAGAATCTCTGTTTACCAACGTACCTGTGGATGAAACAATCGGGATGATAGCCGACAGTGTGTACCGTGATCCGGCCTGTACTCCTCTTGACATACCAGAAAACAGTCTAAGGAAACTACTCCAAGCTTGTACTAAAGAGGCACCCTTCTTGAGCCCGGATGGACACATGTATAAGCAAGTAGATGGGGTCGCCATGGGTTCTCCCCTAGGTGTCCTGTTTGCAAACTTCTACATGGGTACCATCGAGCAAAAAGTCTTAGTCGACATGAACTTGAAACCGGCCATATACTGCAGGTATGTTGACGACATTTTTACACAGGTACCTGATGTCAGACATCTGCAGGAGCTGAAGGAGGCATTTGAGCAGAATTCTGTGTTGCGTTTCATTTACGAGATGGAGAAGGATGGGAAGCTGCCCTTTCAGGATGTAACAGTCATGGAAAGGAGCGGAGTTTTCCACACTGCAGTCTACACTAAGGAAACAAACATAGGAATGTGCCTGAATGCCAACAGTGACTGCCCGGACAGGTACAAGAGGAGTGTTGTTAACGCTTATGTCGACTGTGCCCTCAGCCACAGCTCAGAATGGAAGCAAGTCAACGAAGAACTCTGTAGGGTAAGGCAGGTCCTAGTCAACAACGGCTTCTCCAATGGTTTCGTGGAAGACATCATAAGAAGGAAAGTGAAATGCCATGCAACCTCTGAAGAGACAACTAACACAACACCTATACCCCATATTAGACTATTTTACAGGAACTTCTTTTCCACAGCCCATAAAATGGAGGAAAGGGTCCTGAAAGATATTGTCAGTAGAAACGTTATCACTACAGACAAAAATCAGAAGATACAACTGACGATTTACTATAAAACCAGAAAAACGGCCAGCCTACTCATGAGAAACTCTCCAGACACAAAGCAGAACGCTTTAAAAGAGACCAACGTCGTCTATGCCTTCAAATGCCCTCTTGGGGACTGTAAGCCTCAAAAAAAACAGTATATAGGCAAGACAACAACATCTCTTTCCAGGCGTTTAACGATGCATAAGCAACAGGGCTCCATTAAGGAACATATAATCTCTTCCCACAAACAAACCATCACCAGAGAAATCTTAGCAAACAACACAGAAATCATCGATAGATACAGCGATAGTAGGCCGCTTGACGTCTGCGAGGCACTACACATCAAGAAGTCAACACCAGCAATCATCAGCCAATTAATGCACAACTATATTCTACCCACTTCAAGACTTCGCTCCAATATAGAAGCATCAAGAAATATGGACCAACAGGCTTTCTACAATTACTTCCATTCAATACCCATTGTTTCGTGTTCTGTCTTGTGTTTGAATTTAATACCCATTGTTTCGTGTTCTGTCTTGTGCTGGAATTTAATACCCATTGAATACCCATTGTTGAAAGTTCCTTTTTCACCTCATCCACCTCACCCAAATGTAGATATAAACCTCGAAGATGTGTAAGCTCTATTCAGTTTCAGTTGTGTGTTTGTAAACTAAAGTCTTTGAAAATTTAATAAGTTTTACGAAACGTGCTCAAGTGTCGCTTCAGACTAGAAATAAAAATGAATTTTGGAGAATTGATCTTTGAATTACCATCAACAGTGAAAAGAAACGTAAGAAAGATAGAGAAAATTCGTGTTAGAATTATTAATCTTACTTTTTCGGTCATATTTAATAATATGTCTACAGGAAAGACTGCTACCAAAAAAAAAAAAAAAAAAAAAAAAAAAAAAAAAAAAAAAAAAAAAAAAAAAAAGATATATATATATATATATGTCGTACCTAGTAGCCAGAACGCACTGTTCGGCCTACTATGCAAGGCCGATTTGCCTAATAAGCCAAGTTTTCCTGAATTAATATATTTTCTCTAATTTTTGTCTTATGAAATGATAAAGCTACCCATTTCATTATGTACAAGGTCAATTTTTTTTTATTGGAGTTAAAATTAATGTAGATATATGACCGAACCTAATCAACCCTACCTAACCTAACCTATCTTTAGAGGTTAGGTTAGGTTAGGTAGCCGAAAAAGTTAGGTTAGGTAGGTTAGGTAGTCGAAAAACAATTAATTAATGAAAACTTGGCTTATTAGGCAAATCGGGCCTTGCATAGTAGGCTGAAAAGTGCGTTCTGGCTATTAGGTACGACGTATATATATATATATATATATATATATATATATATATATATATATATATATATATATATATATATATATATATATATATATATATATATATATATATATATATACATATATATATATATATATATATATATATATATATATATATATATATGTCGTACCTAGTAGCCAGAACGCACTTCTCAGCCTACTATGCAAGGCCCGATTTGCCTAATAAGCCAAGTTTTCCTGAATTGATATATTTTCTGTAATTTTTTTCTTATGAAATGATAAAGCTACCCATTTCATTATGTATGAGGTCAATTTGTTTTTATTGGAGTTAAAATTAACGTAGATATATGACCAAACCTAACCAACCCTCCCTAACCTAACCTAACCTATCTTTATAGGTTATGTTAGGTTAGGTAGCAGAAAAAGTTAGGTTAGGTTAGGTAGGTTAGGTAGTCGAAAAAAAATGAATTCATGGAAACTTGGCTTATTAGGCAAATCGGGCCATGCATAGTAGGCTGAGAAGTACGTTCTGGCTACTAGGTACGACATATATATGTATGTAATCAATATTGTAACTTTTTTTGTGTAATGACATTTTCAAATAAAGTTAGATAAATATACACACTTAACAAAAGAATAGGGGTGGTAGGAGAAGAAAATATCAAAGTGTTCAGTGAGGATCCACAAGGTCTTCTCTGAGTACTCTTTATTTTCTTCTCCGAGGCTATGGGTCCCTACATTTGCACCAGAGGTGGTACCCCTCCTCATATATATATATATATATAATATATATATATATATATATATAATATATATATATATAATATAATATATATATATGTCGTACCTAGTAGCCAGAACGCACTTCTCGGCCTACTATGCAAGGCCCGATTTGCCTAATAAGCCAAGTTTTCCTGAATTAATATATTTTCTGTAATTTTATTCTTATGAAATGATAAAGCTACCCATTTCATTATGTATGAGGTCAATTTGTTTTTATTGGAGTTAAAATTAACGTAGATGTATGACCGAACCTAACCAACCCTACCTAACCTAACCTAACCTATCTTTATAGGTTAGGTTAGGTTAGGTGGCCGAAAAAGTTAGGTTAGGTAGGTTAGGTAGTCGAAAAACAATTAATTCATGAAAACTTGGCTTATTAGGCAAATCGGGCTTTGCATAGTAGGCTGAGAAGTGCGTTCTGGCTACTAGGTACGACATATATATATATATATATATATATATATATATAACTGAAAACTCACACCCCAGAAGTGACTCGAACCCATACTCCCAGGAGCCACGCAACTGGTATGTACAAGACGCCTTAATCCACTTGACCATCACGACCGGACATAATGAGGTGATAGCCGAGGCTATTTGAACCACCCCACCGCCGGCACTCGGATAGTAATCTTGGGCATAGCATTTTACCAAATCACCTCATTCTTTGGGGCACACGTGAGGAACACAAATGCGAACAAGCCTGAATGGTCCCCAGGACAATATGCAACTGAAAACTCACACCCCAGAAGTGACTCGAACCCATACTCCCAGGAGCCACGCAACTGGTATGTACAAGACGCCTTAATCCACTTGACCATCACGACCGGACATAATGAGGTGATAGCCGAGGCTATTTGAACCACCCCACCGCCGGCACTCGGATAGTAATCTTGGGCATAGCATTTTACCAAATCACCTCATTCTTTGGGGCACACGTGAGGAACACAAATGCGAACAAGCCTGAATGGTCCCCAGGACCATTCAGGTCCCCAGGAGTTTTCAGTTGCATATTGTCCTGGGGACCATTCAGGCTTGTTCGCATTTGTGTTCCTCACGTGTGCCCCAAAGAATGAGGTGATTTGGTAAAATGCTATGCCCAAGATTACTATCCGAGTGCCGGCGGTGGGGTGGTTCAAATAGCCTCGGCTATCACCTCATTATGTCCGGTCGTGATGGTCAAGTGGATTAAGGCGTCTTGTACATACCAGTTGCGTGGCTCCTGGGAGTATGGGTTCGAGTCACTTCTGGGGTGTGAGTTTTCAGTTGCATATTGTCCTGGGGACCATTCAGGCTTGTTCGCATATATATATATATATATATATATATATATATATATATATATATATATATATATATATATATATATATAATATAATATATATATATGTCGTACCTAGTAGCCAGAACGCACTTCTCCGCCTACTATGCAAAGCCCAATTTGCCTAATAAGCCAAGTTTTCATGAATTAATTGTTTTTCGACTACCTAACCTAACCTAACTTTTTCGGCCACCTAACCTAACCTAACCTATAAAGATAGGTTAGGTTAGGTTAGGTAGGGTTGGTTAGGTTCGATCATATATCTAAGTTAATTTTAACTCCAATAAAAAAAATTGACCTCATACATAATGAAATGGGTAGCTTTATCATTTCATAAATACAAAATTAGAGAAAATATATTAATTTATGAAAACTTGGCTTATTAGGCAAATCGGGCCTTGCATAGTAGGCTGAGAAGTGCGTTCTGGCTACTAGGTACGACATATATATATATATATAACGTTGTACCTAGTAGCCAGACCGTCGTACTTGGCCTACTATGCAAGGCCCGGTTTGCCTAATAAGCCAAGTTATCCTGAATTTACATATTTTTCATTTTTTTTTTCTTTTGAAATGATAAAGCTATCCATTTCATTATGTACGAGTTAATTTTTTTAAAATCAAGGTAAAACTAACAGATATATGACTGAACCGAATCACTGGAATTAATGAAATACAAATATACTACTGTCCACTACTACTACTACTGAGACCATGATCGGCATCAACTTACTTCACTATCTCCGGAATCTTCGTCACACTCTTCATCTGACTGGAAAAATTTATTTGTCTCATCAATAGCATTGGCACCATTTTGGGAATTCATTGCTAGATTTCTGCTTTCTATGTCCTCTATATTCTCTAAATTTTGGCATCGTTCTTTGTCAGATTTTATAACCATGTTTTCAGTCCAAGGTTCAGTAATACATCCAAATTCTGAAAAAAATAATAATAAATAGACATTTGTAAACTACTGTGCAAAGTCAAAGGAGGTAACCCCACACTCCTACCTGAAAAATAAACTAATTCATGAAATGTGGTTAACTGCATTTTCAAAGGCATGGTGTCCATTACTCATGCATGATGTCCGTTACATATACACTGTCAGTTACACATGCAGGATGTCCATTATATATGCATTACATTTACTATATATTTGTCATTCTACTACAGCATAATTATCCACACTGTAATGTGCGTAACTAATTTAAAGATAAAATCTATAGGTTCATTCCACAAATAGAGTTACACATAAGAAGCAGCAAGATAGTGAACTGTATAAGCGCAATTTTTAACTAATATTTAATATCACTTATAAATTGATGTACAGTACTTAGTGATAGTTTTTTTTTGTGTATATTGCTTACAAACTATTTATATAGGTGGGTTGTTTACAGAATACAGTACCATATTTACATTAGTGTGACAAGAACGAAGTTAACAAGATACTTTTATCTTGCAGCCAAGAGACGAAAGTATCCCAGCTAGGCATGTCTCAATACTGCACATACAATACAATACAATACTAGAATACATTCCTAAAATATAAATCTTCATTTCCTGATCCCAATGCGCAAAGAAAAAATCCGGTCTCTGGACATTTTTGAAAATCTTAGTGGACTAGAAATGTAACAAATAATCATATTAGCTTCACTGAAAAACTTGTCGTATGGATTAACTCTTGCAGTGTGCATATCTTCCTCACATGTTCTTAGGTTCCTGGTAACATTTGAAATTCCCACAGGTGCACGAGGTTCGCAATTGGTGCCTGAGGCTTCCAGTAAACACTTGCCACCTTGTAAAAATTAAAATTAAAGGGTAACCCGCAGTGCCTGTTGGCGGCTAGTCTGAAGGACGGGGCTTGAGCTCACAATTCGCGAATATCACTTACATATGATGAAATTACTGTAAAACTAAATATATAGGCCTCGTGTAACCCTTGTACAGTTTGGGGTTAAAAAAAAAGGGGTGACTTTATTCTATAAAATGACACTAGGATGGATGTTGTACATTAACTATCCAGAGAAATATTAATGAAAAACTGGTGTCATCTGGACACTGATCCCGGTCTCCATTCATATAGTATTTTAAAAAGCTAAAGGGTCTCAATAGGAATTTATTAAGCAATCATTAAACATCTTGTAATACCATCTACAATTTTAGATGGCATTAACATCATCCAGTACCAGGTCACTTGTACTTCCAAGTCATGTCACACCCCTTTGTCAACATGATGTCCAAATGCTGATCCACTTTGTAGCTGAGTATTTCATCACAGACAGCATATGCAATAATAGCAATCCTTAACACTTAAATAAAAAATTCAATAGTATTGTATTGAACAAATGTATTTGCATTGACAGTATATCATCAATATTTGAGGAGCATTCACCAGCATAAATGTGTGATATAGTGCAACCTCAAATCAGAAAAACCTGATTAGGTGAATCTTTTGGTGTTAATGTGGAGTTTCACCTTGGGTGCTGCGAGAATCTGCAACCAAGATGAGCATTCCACTCACTATGATATTCCAGACATCCTTGTGCATAGGAATCTTGGCAGATACAGTATATGAAAAAAGGCAACATAGTTCCAAGTTATATAAATGGTAGCTGAGAAGACCCTCTTAATTATAGACCCATATCATTAACCCTTTAATTGCACAACGCGCCTGCAGGCCCACGTCTGGGGTGCGCTATGTGCCTCCAGGTATTTGTATTTTTCACGTTCCATTCAAAACTCCTGTGGCTACATGGGGTTCACATCAACTTCCTCTGGGCTCTTGTAAACAGACGCCATCTTTAAAAAAAAATCATGGTCCACATTCCCTTGTGTGAGAGCTTTAGTAGTGAGTGAGCAACCAAGACTGGCGCTCGCAGCATGAGCGCACAGCACTGCTGTTCAGCGTGTGACCACAGCATCGCCTTATGTCAAAATATATATATAACTTGTATTATTTAGCCATGATAGTATTATAGAAGAGCCTGAGTGTGATAATGACTGGGTACAATGTTCAAATATCAGTGATTCAATGCTGTTCACGATGTTCACAGCACTAGCCACAGCACCACAGCATTATTTCGTCCATCTATTAATCTTCAAGTGACTTCTTAGGTTCCTTTCCAGAATAAACTTGTGGTCAAATATTCATTTACAGGAATTAGTGACCAGGATTGTGGTTATAATTAGCGTTGTGCGTAGTATTGTGGAAGGAGGAATTTTGGTGAGGGAGGGAGGAAGGAAGAGAATTGAGGTAGCCTCACTGTGTGGCTGCCACTCTTGTTTCGCTCACCATACTAGCTTCATGGTTTGCTATGGGGAACACACACGTACATGGGTATATACAGTGTGTGTGTATATAGTGTAATAACAGCAACAGGAGTATGTTGAGTGGAGCTATTTTGGTGAGGGAGGTGACGTCGTAATCATAGCGTCGTCTGCTGTCTGCTGTGTGATTTCTCATGCAGTGTATATGGTGGCCACTGTACTGTTTGGACACAATATCGGCTTACTTGCATAGTTCTGGTAAATAAAACATGTAGATAGGTATATATAACATGTATAAATAGTGTAATAAAAACACTAACAGTATGGTGGGAGGAGCAGTGTTGGAGTGAGGGAGGACCTGTCTGGGTGTGGCTGCTCACACTCGCAATGTTCTGAATGTGTTGATGGTAAATGCATATACAGTACAGTAGTGTGACAGTGTATAGTGTGGTACATATGTTGTAAATATACATAAACGAACATGAAACATTGGTGTGAATAACTGTTTGATGGGAGGAGCAATGTTGGCAAATACAATGTTAGAGGAGTGAGGGAGGGAGGGAGGGAGGGCTGGCTGGGTGTGACAGCTCACACTTGCGGTGTTCTGAATGTGTTGATGGTGAATGTATATAGTGTGACAGTGTATAGTCTGTAAATAGATTGTATATATACATAAATTAGCATGATACATGGTAAATATGTGCAACATATGTGTACACAAGTGTCATGCACGTAACACAGTGTCCTCGGACAGTACGGATGTTTTACTGCCATAATATAGTACTGTATACGTGTTCATTATACATAGGATTAGCACGTAAAAACAAATAAAATGTATTTGGAACTGTGCGTAAAAAATGACCAAAAATATATTCGCAGCAACTCGCGCGCCCCGTTGACAGTGGTTGACTGTGGCAACTCGTGCGCCCCACCCCAGGCACCCTACTGGTCCCGGGAGCGTTCGTCATACGCGAACGGGGAATGACGACGTCATGCTCCAACTTATGAACCCCATAGCAGCCAAAGCAAGTACAATTTCAAATTTTTGAAATTGTTACTTTGTTACTACACCACAGTCTCCATGGTGTAGTGGTAAGACACTCGCCTGGCGTTCCGCGAACGCTTTGTCATGGGTTCGTATCCTGGCAGGGGAGGATTTACTGGGCGCAAATCCTTAACTATACCCTCTGTTTAACGCAACAGTAAAATGTGTACTTGGTTGTAACAACGATTCTTCGCGGTGGGGATCGTATTCCAGGGACCTGCCCGAAACGCTACGCGTACTAGTGGCTGTACAAGAATGTAACAACTCTTGTATATATCTAAAAAAAAAAAAAAACTTTTTTATTTTCATAGTAACTTTGAACATTTTTGGCCAAGACTATGTCTGGTAGCAGCATGAATCGTTCTGGAGGTGTTAAGAGGAAGAAGGTTGTCCTAACACTTAAGGACAAGCTACGTGTTATACAACTTTGTGAACATGGCGGGTCGACCTCAAGTGTTGCCAAGGAATTTAATACTATATAGGTACTAGTACTGTTTCTGATATAAGGAAACAAAAAGAGAAACTTATGAAATTCATTTCAACCTGTGAAAGTGAAGGTGCAAGCAATAGCAGAGGTTGTGGTAGAAAAACTATGAAAACTTCGACGCATGTACAGTTGGATAAGGCTATGAACAAGTGGTTTGCTCAGCACCGCACAGCTGGCGTAACAATTTGCGGCCTAGAAATACAAAATGCTGCAAGCAGGTTTGCTGCAAGCCTTGGAATAAAGAATTTCGAAGCGAGTGAAGGATGGGTTGCAAGGTTCAAGTGTAGGCACAATATTGTGAAGAGGAAAATTGTCAGTGAAAAATTGAGTGCAGATGAAAACAGTGTAGAACCATTTAAACAGAAATTAACACTTTCGCGCGCCCTGGGAAGGTAAAAAAAAAAAAGCGGTATGTGCGCACGGCGTTTTTGTCGCTTAAGCGTAAAAACAAAAATGTGTATACTCTTTTTACTCTCCTGACCTTACTTCTCGAGCTACGTATTTCATTTTGGTACCAACGTGTTCGCAATAAAATTCTCTAAAAGGACGTCAGTAAACAAAGTCACGAAACCTATAGGGATACCAGCAGCAAATAAATAACTACGAAGATGACTCGCCGTGAGCGCCCAACAGCAACAAAATGTTTATACTCTTGGGATTGTTATCACCTCCACACTTGTCCTACAGCGTTAATTTTGGTATCAATGGACTCGCAATGAAATTCCCAACACGGTGATATGAATATAAACGTAGAATAATGATCGCTGCCCACCCGCAAGAGTGTGGGAAGTGGTGAAATTGTTACCTGGAATCGATGACGGGACGACACATGTGCGATATGGCGCTTTGAAAGTTTATACTTATTTCACTGTCCTGATATTATTATTCTATGTACGTCATTCATTTTTGTGTCAATGTGTTCGCAATAGAATGTTCTATGAGCCCGTAGGTAAAAAAGATCAACAAAGCGTAAGATAGAATAGCGCCAAATATAAAACAACGCTGGAACATATCAGTGAGCGTCAAACACACATGAAATGTTTTTACTTTTGTTATGTTTGTCAAGTTTATACTTGTTGCACACAGTTATTTTTGGTTGTACATTGATCGGAATAAAATTCCCTAAACAGACATATG